GTTTTCCATTTAAAAAAAAACAAGGCAAACGTATATCGTCGGTCTGACAGACCAATGCGCGGGTATAGGAAAGTTAAAACCAAAATGTTATTCTATTTCTCGACTAACTGGCACAAAATAAAAAAAGTATGCACTACGTTTCGGCTCGAGGTTTTGACGATTAGACCGCACTTGAGAAGGGCTCAAACCTCGAGCCGAAACGTAGTGCATACTTTTTTTATTTTGTGTCAGTTAGTCGAGAAATAAAATAATATTTTGAAACATATAGTATTGAAAACATGATATTGATACATTATGGCCGACTGATTAACGCTTGTCAAATAAATCGGAGATGAGAAAGTGAACGTTAACCAAGAGCTAATAAATATAAGGTGGTGCGATAAGCTCAAGGAATAATAAAAAAGGGAAACGGAGAAACACATAATACTTTGCGATACATTTGTAGCCGACTGAAACTCGTGGCTACAACGTAACGCTATTCTTTTAGGTGACTCTTATCTCCTCGGTCAAATGACAAGAACTGCGCTTTCTTTGTTATCACGAAAATAAGTGCTCGTAATGCATGCATTATCCTCCTGCGTGTTCAAACGTGACTAAGCCCGCAACGACGACGTGACGTAAGGGGGAGACCGGGAGACGTACGTACTACGCAGGAAAAATAAACCAGAAATTGCGGCGAGTATACTCATTCCCCCAAAAACGGCGATCTTTGGTAAAAAAAAAAAGGAAAGTCCACGCCGTCCAAATAATGACGGCGCGATGTTTAAAATAATAACGGCTTTAAAAATAACGGCGCGTGTACGTCCCGACGACGAGCGTCGGCGGGGGCGTACTGTTTACGAAGTCCCCCGGACGGCGTGGAAAACTCGGGAAAAGCAATAAGGAAGAAAGAAAAATAGAAAACGGAGGGAAGATATGCGGGACGGTTAGTGACCCCTTGGCGTGTCAATAACGTAGCAGACCCGCGACGCTCCGTTTCTCCGTCTCACTCTCTCTCTTTCTCTCGTCCGAGATTGATTAAATTTACTCCGGAAGAGAGAGATAATACGGCAATTATTGCCCCGGCTTATTCGCGCGCCGCGCACAAAGGACGGCGTTGTGCGCCTATCTCTCTCTCTCTCTCGACGCGACGCGACGCGACGGTCCATTGGGAAAAATTCCGCAGGACGACACGCAGCAGCCAGCGGTGGCCGAAGAGCGAGGGAGGCGGAGAAGGGTGGGTGTGTGCGTGCGTGTCGCGTGCGCGCGCGCGCGTATGTGTCGCGTCGCGTGTATGCGTCCACATATGTGTGTGTATTCGTGCGGAGCGTCTATTTGCGCGACTGTGTCGGAAGACCCGGAGGTCGTGCGACGTTTCTTCCGGTCGTTCTCGTACGCGACGCGAAAACAATCGTCGTCGTCGTAGCCGTCTTCGCCGCCGCGCCGGTCGAATTGCGACGCAACAGCGGCGGCGGGGGCGACCTTCGGGCGACGATCGAGCGGTTAGGTTACTACTTGTACGTACGTACCCTCGTCGTGATGTTTGGATTATTATTCGGGTGCTCCGGCAACGGTGCGGGCGCGGGCGCGGGCGTAGGTGCGGGCGCGGGCGCGGGCGCGTCTCGGCGCGTACGCGCGAATGACGTTTCCCCGTCGTCGTGCTCCTGGCCGCGCGGATCCGCGTTCCGTCTGTCGATAATAAGCGGCTTCCGATACTGCTGATCGCTGGACTCCGCGACGTACAGCCGCTTCGCCCTGTCACCGTACCGCACTCCGTAATTGCATTCCGTTAGCAGGACCAGATGGAGGATCAACGCAAGGTAGTAATAGTGGGCCGCGCTCGACCGACCGGCCATCTTGCCCAAGACTGACTCCGCTCGCCGCAGGAGCGGCTGTTTAATGCCTTGAGTCGCGAACTATGCGCCTCACGCCAGACGCGCACGTCGGTCGAACGCGCCGCGCGCGCGCGCAAGTGGCGCCCGTTCGAAACTAGTTCGAAAAATATTAATGAGGGAAGCACTTGTTTACATATTAAAATTTAATCCATTTTATGTACTTATTGGAGATAATTATTTAAAAAATTACATTGTCTGCACTGTCGAGAAAACGTAAGGGGCGGATTATACTCGTGCCATGTAATATATTCTTCAAATAAAGAAAAAAATATATCGCGACTCTCGTTCCCTAGCTCTTTCGCAACTCCTTTTTGACACTGCAGAACGCGTTAGAATTATTATACAATTTTCACTACGTAATAGAATTATATATCGATAATCTATTGATTATTAAACGCACGAAATTTTTTTACGAAGAAAATTTTCCGAGGAAAAAGAAAAGAATCAATCGAAGAAAAAGAAACCTAAATTTTAACATTATATGATTCTCGTTTCTATGCGTGTTCCATATTTAATGCTAAATATACGTGTTTGTGATTCTACGGACGATTTAATATTTTCCCATGCAAATTATAATATACAATTTTTATTAGATAATAAAGAATTGTCGATTAAATATTGCGCGACAGTTCCGTAAGGAGAACCGGTCGCGAAAAAAGAAACAACGTTGTGACTCTCTTTCCCATTCATATTCCGTGTTTGGCGCAAATACGCTCCGTTTTCGATTCTGCGATTCGAAAAATAAATTTATCCCATAAAATTTTTCTGTATAAGAATTGTCGAGAATTGAATTATTACGTGAAATTTGCGTTCTGAAAGGGGAAAAAAAAGAGAATTTGTTGTATATGAATCACACGAAAACACGCCATATAATTGATCGAGATCACTCTGCGACTGATTTCAGAGATTTGCTGTTATACCTTAATTATTTGAGCTTCTGCGGGTCACCTGAATGAATCACTATTGTGAAAATAAATGCAATTAAGATAAAAGAATAAGTAAAAAAAATTGCGAGTAATTCCATTTACTGCGCAATGAAATATATGACTAAGATGTATTGCGTAATTCGTATAGATAAAAATAAAGTTCCACCGACCCTCATTATTCGTAAGTGAAATGAAAAGTGACATCACCCAATATTTTCCATTTAACGGTTCAATTTATCATGAATTTAATGAATGTTTACCGTAGAGCGAGAACCAATTAAGGATCATCTCCTATCCTACAATCCTATTCTCCCTTTTACGAGGAAGGGTGTTATTCGACAGAAGGGTGTGTCAAATTATTGAATGCGACCCCCCGCGATCGATAATATGGAAAAATAACGTACGGAAAGGAAATTTCCCGACAGGCGACGGATCGGGCCGGATTGAGGGGGCGAGTGCTTCTAACGGCGGCGCGCAGATGCGACAATAAAAGTATATTAGATAATAACATTCGTTCTCTCCCTCTCCTTTCGCTACACTCTTATTTCCTAGTTGGTACGTTGTTCGCGACGTTCGCGTCGTAGAGTCGTGGTTGCTCGTGCGACGTGGCCCGGAATCTGAAAATGCCAGCTGAAAGCCAAATTTTCATTCAAACTTCGACCGTGTGTGCGTTCAACTATATATCTGATATATCATATCCGACGGTCGATTTACAATAGCTGGGTTCAGCGACTTGACTAATCGACACTGAAGCTGAATTAGGTCATTGACTTCTTCACCTTCGTCATGAAAAGACCGTTAAACTCCGTTATGGACATCAAGATGTCCCTTATTGGATTATGAGATATTACACATCGTTTATTCTGGAAACATACGAGTAACTTGATAAATATTCCGAAGATTCTGCTTGCGCGACTCAACGTATATAGAACGACAGTTTTGAATTGTAATAAGATCCAATTTGAATCTTTTAGAAATATATAGGACACGTGTAAATCGAATCGCGTACAATCGTTTATTGACCAAATATATATAGAAATATATATAGCAACTCGACTGTAAATGAGACGCTACACACAGAAAAATATCGTTCTATAGCCAAGAAAAGCAATTACTCATTTTATTTTATTTGGTTTGAGTAACAGTTTTCTTTAACAAAGAATATTTTCTTAATATTAGTTTCTTAATATATTCATCATAAGTATTAGAAAAGCTTATCATCATGTGCTTAAAAGAAGAATTTATTCTTCTTTCAAGTATATTCCGAAACTTTATCTAAGAAAAGCAACATAAACTTGATTTGAATATTTACTGATTTTTTAGGTAAGAATATGAAATACTTGGCTGTAGAACGACATTCTTCTAGGTTAGGAGGTTTTCGTGCGCGGTCCGGAAGGATACAGTTTAGAATATTGAAATTCCTGTCATCAGGTGGACTTGAACCCGGTTCCTCGTGGTTATGAGTCTGATACTTTATCACTAGGCCACATCTCTGATTATATTTTTAGTGCTGCAGTATTTAGTTTTGACAGAAGTGATTCATTAATTTCAAGTATATTCTGTAAACTTTATCTAAGAAGCCACATAAGCTTGATTTGAATATTTACTGATTCTTTAAGTAAGAATATGAAATACTTGAAATCAATAAATTACTTCTGTGAAAACTAGATACTGCAACACTAAGAATATAATCAGAGATGTGGCCTAGTGATAAAGTGTCAGACTCATAACCACGAGGAACCTGGTTCAAGTCCACCTGAGGACAGGAATTTTTATATTCTGAACTGTAAGTACTACCCCTCCGCACAGCGCACGAAAACCTCCTAACCTACATTCCACTTAGGAACTAAAGAATTAAAGAAAATTAAAAAAATAAAAATAATATTAATTGTAATCATCAAGAATACAAATTCTTTTTTGAAGTAAACGATTATTCTAGATGAATAAAATTTTTACTTGATTCAAATAACGGATAAACTTCTCTCAAGAAAATGTAATATCTTTATTGAAGTATATGCTTCTCTTCCGTGGACTCTATATTGTAAGTAAACAAAATATTCGTATTAATTTAATATTCTTGTTTCAAGTACTAAACTTGCTAAGATCTAGAATATGTTTTGAGTAAATGTGATACTTATGACGACTTTATGGTAGATTTGCTCATATATGAACTTATCAAATACTTGAATCAAGTAATATTAACTTGCAGGTAGTTTATATTTTTCTGTGTGTACAGCATTTCGTTTTCGAAGCTAATAACTTTTTTGAATAATTTATAGTGATTTATATGGACACCCCGGAATAGTTATTTGTGTAACAAGTGTCGTAAGATGAAAATTCCCGGGTGCGGAGTTTACGCACGAGCCGAAGGCGAGTGCGGTAACCGCACCCGGGAATTTTCATCTTTACACACGGCTTACACTCCCTATTTTATGTTGCAAGTGCCTGGAAAGTGGTCTATCACGCACGCGTAGCGTGCGTAATGGGGAACTTTCCATGCACGTGTTGCATAAAATATTTATATATATAATTATATGTAAAATATATACCCATGTTTTCTTTCTCTTGTACAATCTCTATTTCATTTTCATACAAACAAAAAAATAATAACGAGAAAAATTAGAAAATAATTAAAAGTATGTATAAATTTTTCTAATTATTTTTCAAGTAAATCTTATATCATTTTTCTTATATACGAACAGAGAAAGAAAACATATATGGACATATTTTATACGTAATTATGTACAAAAAAATATTTTCCGTATAATAAATAACAAACGAGTATACTATTCTTTTAAATAAAACTATCTTTTCTTCTTCTCTTTAAAAGTTTATTTGTCCTCGTTGTTCCATTCGACTGAAGAGGACCTTAATAAAAGTCAAAATTAGTTTCAACTGAGGAGTGATTGAAATGCACAGGAAATTCAATTGGAAGGTATTAAAAGCGCATAAGAAGTATAATTGTATTGTCGAACGGACATCAGCGTCCATATTGGCCTTAATTTAATCTTCTATGGTTTCTTTCTCTCTTGAAAGATGCAGGGTATACAAAAAATACCACACTAATACGGAGAAAATGATCGACTATCTATATCGAAGTCACAGTTACATAATATTAGACGATTGAGGACATGGTGTGTCTCGAAAGTCTCGATGCCACGATTTTATTACTGTTTATTACCATTATAGCACTATATATGATATTTTGACGATTTTTGAAACCTTCTAACATGGAGCATATATTGATAATTGGTATTAATGATCTACGAGAGCGAATTTCAATCAAACGTATAAAAATGAATAAGACGCATAAAATATTTTGCGCATTTAAATAAAACTCAAAAATTGAATTTGCCGCAAACTTTTTTCTTATTTTCCATTGTCTATATAAATATACGTCAATTTTTACTAACAGAAATTTCGATTTTAGGTTGATTAAAGTTTAAAATCATTAAAATCTCAATCCGCAAGGAACAATGAATAATAAATTTCTTCAGAATACATATGTAGTTGCAAAAATACCAAACGGAGATGCTCAAATTAAATGTATCGCTTATCGTGTTCAGAGTGCAGAACACATCGATGTAATTAAAATGATTTATTTTGCAATTCGCATACTAATCAATGAATGAACGTTGAGCTAAACGCGATTATAGCGCGCGTCGATATGCGATAATCGGAGCGAGCTGATTAATCACTGATAATCGTAAGACGAGAGAACAAAAATGCAAAAACAGCCTTGCCATTTATCTTTCATACCGCGAATCTATTTCGGAAGCTTTTTGTCCTAAAAATGCGAAGAACGGTACAACACGAGGTAAACCCGCTTTAGACATGATATTCACATCAGATTTGATAGAAACCTGACGCGTTTGTTTTCTTGATGTGTTTTGTGTGTGCGCTTTAATATATATTTTACATATATATTTTACATTGTTACAACAATGATATAACTCAAAAATTGCAGAGAATAGTAAAAATTCAATGCACTGCTGAATAAATAGCTAATATATAGCTAGATATTTCTATTCCTCTACAATATAATTCATTATGCTAAAA